GTGTGCAAATGTATGCGTGTGCGCGTGATTATGCGCAACATAAAAAATCCTCTTACTACCTATAGAAATTACGTTTGGCATAAAACTTGGATGAATCCGATGCCCCAAAACCTTAAAGAACATGTTGTATAAGCATCTATACCATATAAAAACTAACCTCATAGAAGTATTCATTCAACACATCAACAATGTGATCAAGAGAGGCACTCTGAAGTTTGAAAGTCCATCAAGCAAAAACGATTAAAGTAAAAATAAACAATATCTCTGGAACGTGTAAATAAATACCTTAATAGAATCAGGATTAGCAGACAAATGAGTAATGTGATTAACCCACACATCGTTAAATTTTTCAGGGTAGCTATAACTAATGAAGAAGAAGATAATTACATCGCGTGAAGGACGTTGGGCAGTACCTTCTCATTTATAATATCGTCCACACTCTGTACATGTGAAGCGGCACTAAAGGTACGTAACTATACTAGCTAATATAATAAATTATACCCATTTAAAAAGGTGCTCAACGGGAGGCGAAGGATCCATATGAAGGTGAAGAGGCAAAGATTTTTATGAGGCGGGTTGAGCAAGAGTATAAAACAAATTACCCTAATAAAATTAGTAATATTTTTATAAACAAAATTTAACTTATTTAAATAAATTTTTTTAATTTTTTTAATTTTATTTATTTTTTATTAATGTACAATTTATGATAAATATGCATCTTGTTTTTCTTACTTCTCGAAATTTGAAATTCTAATAATGCAAGAGGACTTCAAGTTCCAGACCGATTATGCTAAGAGTGACAGGTCCTCATGTAAACTTTGTAAGGCATCCATAGCAAAAGATTCCTTAAGGCTAGCAACCTTGGCTCAGGTAATTACCTTATTATTATTTTAAATTTTTTATAGGCCCCGAAATTCGATGGGAAAATTCCTCTTTGGTACCATTTTGGTTGCTTCTTCAATAAGGCGAAAGCTGCGGTAGATACATCTGGGATCAAGAATTTTGACAACCTTCGATGGGCTGACCAAGAAAAGATTAGACAAAAAATTAATAATCTTAAAGAGACATTAGCGTCTACATCTTACAACATTAAGATTTCCAGTGTCCAAGTACAATGTAGCGATTGTAAACTGTCTGTTGAAAAGGTAAAGTAACTCTAAATTACGGCAGCCTCTTTTATGATTAAATTATGTATATTGATAACATAACGTAATCTATCACTTACCGTTTTCTCAGCCATTTAACTGCCGTTTTAATCGCCCATTAGGTAATTATTTTGATTCGATCATGTAATCTTTGGTTTATATATCACGCGCAATCAATATACGAATTGATAATAAATCGTTGCACTTTAATTGCTTCATTGCTTAGAAATTATTCTAAACTGCTGGCTTTTAGACCCATTAGCATCTATGTATTAGATATTTTTATGATCAAAGGTACCAATATTTCTTCCTCATTTTTTTAATCCTTTCGAATAATATATTGTGTATATTCATGAGCCCCTCATTTCATGCTTATTTATTTTAACGATACTATCCATCTTGCCCTCTACCCTATCCATAATTTATTATATTGGTTTTTCCTTCTAGGGGACTACTTTGGTTTCGAATAAAACGAATGCTTATCATATTAGTTGTTTTTTGAAAGGAAATGATGTTCCTGGTGATATCACCACATTAGCTGGCTATAAGAAACTAAAGAAGGATGTAAAAAAAACCATAGAAGAATTGGCCACATCTCTTTCTCAACCAAGGTATGTATACACTAAAATTGTCATTGATGCTTATTTGTTCATTTGGATATTCTTCATTATACCTTTGCTTCACATAATCTTAGGTAAAAAAATGCGATTAAAGGTTCGTTGTTGTCACTTCATATTATTTCTTTTGTACTCAACACTTATTTCTTATTGTGACTAGATATTAAAATTTCCCCTGAATACTTTGCTTTAATCTCGTATATGCGATGTATTAACCCTCCGTTTACGGTGTTAATGGATTTTTGGTTGAATTCGCTCAAGATAATATAAGTAGACCTCATTCTTGCTTCCTCCAAGTTATTCCCATTCAGGGTGAACCTCCGTTTTTACTCTGCCTAGTTCTCATCAACACCCCCAGTGTGTCGAGACTATGGGCTCAACTATCCGGATTTGAGTTCCTCTGTGGGGTGCTGGCGAGACGTGGATATACTTACAGCCCACTCTGAATGAGAATACTTTTTAGGAAGCAAGGCTATGTAAAATTCATTTGAAACGTAAGACCTAATCGTAGCATTGCGGAAAAATTCAAATATAAGTCCTTCATCGTGGTACACCAAATGGTGCGAATACAACTCATACGATCCACTAATACTCTCGAAAAGCTACTCATAAAACGAGAACAGTATGTTTGAGTTTTTGAGGGTTTTTTTTCCTGGCTTATAACTTATTTAATTGAGAAATGTTGGGTTATTCAAACTGCTTTTAGTTCGTGACTTGAAATATTAAATAGCCTCGGAATCTAATAAAAATTTCAGCTTAGGCAGTTTTTAGATATAAGCGGTTTCCAATTTTATTTAACCTTGGTGTGTATTTATAACAGGACCAAGTTACGCGCAGTATTAAAACAAATTCGTATTGTAAACTTTTCACAAACTAGACCCACTTTCTGTATTTCTCTATTATTTTTTAGTCAATACAAATTTTCTAAAATCTATATTATTGACTTGCCGGGATATAGATTTCTTGGTTTTCGTAGTCAGAAGTAAAATTGATAAGATTCAAACCATACCTACGTAATATATGCGAAGAAAAGTTGGGTTTCAAGGAATCTCTTGTTGCTTAATTGTTGAGCTTACTTCCATTTCGAGTGAAAGTGTTGAGTGAGGAAATTCGAAGGTCGGTTCCACCAGAAGACGACGGCGGATTCCTCTTGACTAGCTAACGATTGGCTTTACTGGAAGATTCATGCTGACGCTGTTTCCGAGGTAATCTTCTTCGATTCCATTGAAAAGGTGCTAAGCTTTCGTCCGTAATATGACGAACATCATCAGAGCGAGGTATCATCGTCACAACAAAATTCAAGCTAACGAGTCAAGAAAAATCACCGGCAAATCACTAAAAGGATGTATATATACTCTAAATCTGGCCATAGTATGCATGAGACTTTCCAGATTCAGACCGTGGACTTGGTACATTTCCAGACGTTTCGCCGGCATCGTCACTGAGCCTTGCCATTCTTAGCATCACACTACAACTCGACAAAGTGAAGTCGATCCTTTGACCAAGTGTGTTCTAACCAGTTGTGTTATCTCTCCTTCACCTATCCTATATCCTCGTATAACCCCTTCAATATAAAAATGTCTTGAAGATATGTAGACTAAGATGTTGTGGCCTCTGGTATGGTCGCATTCTCCTTTCGATATATAGAAGTGGGGCCTGGCAATCAGGGAGCTGGGCAAACGGATAAGCAAACCATCACGGGAATTCGGCGTTTTTGCCAAAATGTACTAGATATCCACTTGAGATGCCGAATGCGACCAGAGATAGACGTCCACAGTTTTCTCAGATAACATGGGCTTAAGCAAGGAGAGGACCTGTGAAGGGAAACCTGATATCTGCAAGCATAGGAATCAGAAAGCTATTATGGCAGACGACTTCGACCTAGGTTCGTTCTACTAAGTCGCCCTGACAACAAGACCAAGTTGTAACAACGAGGCCAACCCACTTCTATAAACATATCTTGTTTATCTAGACCTATTAGAAATCTATTCTCACCCCCTGATCCAAGGCTGTGGCTTAATCCACAATCCTTTCTCTTCGGATCCTATCCGAGTCCCCTCTTGCTCCGTTGGATCCTTCCCTTATTGTCTGTTTCTGTGATTTCACTCCACCGCTGCCACTGTATTCGTTTTACTCATGGCTTTGTTTTACACTACCTCAAGCCTTTGATAACACGTATACAAGTATACTAATAGCCAACTAGAAATGGCCACCACCGTTTATATCGCTCTTCTGTGACTTTCTATTACGTACCAACCCACATATGTGATGGTTCTACTTTATTTAAATAGGCTCACTTTATGTCTTCTCTTATCTTCTGATAGTTCATCTTTGGATTCCTTGTAATTTCTTTTCCTATAATTAAAAAATATTCCCTTTGTTCAGTCATCTTCTTTCTGCTGATATTGCTGTTTCCTGATCTCCGAGTTTCTTTAGGCAGCATGCAAAGTTTTCGCTAATCCTGCCTTTTTCAAGTCTTTTGTTCATTAGGTTTATTATAGTCAATATATCTTTCTTGTATTTTCACCATATGCAGCCAGCCTTTCTGTCAATTTCTACTCTATTTCGTGTCCCGTTCGTGTAATGTGTTTCGATATTTCGGATCTTTCACTGTTCATGTTTCGGCAGAGTCCTTGATATTCCTTGATTCGTAGGCTAATTTTTATTCATGTTTCACCAATATACTTCTGCTCACAGCTGCTGCATTTGATGCTATAGTCTCCTGAGCAATCCAGTTTGTCAACTTTTTCGTATTGTGTCGACAGCTTTGTAAGGAGTGTTGTCTTTTCTTTTGTTAGCACCTTGATATTCCATTTTCTTAGCGACGGTCGCAATTTCTGGTTCCGTTCACAGGAAGGAAGGCATATCCACTTTTTGTCGTCTTCCCGATTTCTGATCTTATTTTTATAAAAATCCTAGTTGAACTCTGCTCTTTATGACCCATATATTTCTTTCTACAAATTCTGAGGTACCCGTTACTAAGTCAAATCCGAGTCAGTCTCTCCAACTTCTTGTTTCAGAACTCAGCGTCCGTAATTTTTAGGGCTTCTCATGATCATACTCACTATTCCGATTTTTAGTCCGTAGTTGAGATTAGACTGGAAATTGAGGATTATTCCTGTCTTTGATTTCTTTCCGAATAGTCTCCTTTTGAGCATTCTGTTGGAGCGAATGACTTCAATATCCAGGAAGCATAGTCGTTTATCCTCTTCCTCCTCCATTGGGAATTTAATTTTTCCATTAAGTTGGTTTCTAAAATTGAGGAATTCATCCAAATTTGCCTTTCCATGCGACCAAAATGCAAATTAGTCGCCCTAGGTATCGCATAAGGACACTTAGTCGCATGCGATTGCTATGGCAGACGACTTCGGACTAGGTGCGTTCTACTAAGTCCCCCTGACAACAAGACCAAGTTATGACAACGAGGTCAACCCACTTCTGTTAAATACCTCATGCCTCTCAGTCCCGTAACTTTCCTCCAATTTCTGAATGGAGGCGTGAAAAGTATTTCATTAACTGAGTCCGAATGACACTTCATCATACGTTGCTAAATCCTGGAGTGATATAGTAATGCTTGCAACAATTTAAAAAGATCAAGTGGCAGGATTGACTTACAATTGTCTTATTTGTCCTGCTTTAATCGGTGCACTATTTGGCAATCTTACTTCCATAGTTTAGCATAAGATAATTAAATAGCCCAGGACAGAAGAATAGATACCACAACTGTTTAGCACACAATTGCTCAATTGATCGACTTCACTTGTCTCTGACGAGTTGTAGTGTGGTGGCAAGACTTACTGACGATGCCTGCGAAACGTCTTGGAATG